ACGATAAGGATTATTTATATAGAATTTCATGGTGAACAACATGTTATAATATTTTCCCATAAATTAAACAAAAGAATAGGCCAACATATTGTGTGTTTAATATATATTTTTGTTGATTAGAATTTATAATAAACAAAGAGTAATAATATTAAAATATTTGGTTATGAATATCATGGTGTAAATATAAATATTATTTTTTTTTTAGGTTTATTATGATATGTACGAGAAATCTAAGGAAAAATATGCTGCAGACATGGAAGAGTACACACTGAATAAATCTATAAATGCAGTACAAACATCCAATTTCTCATCTTCACAATAAAATTTGATTTAACTTTGTATTATTTATATTGTGTATTCAAATTTTGATGTAAGTGTCCTATTTATTATTAATGAATAATTTCTATTCAAGTGTATAAAAATGTATTATTGTAAAAAAGAAGTATTATTTTTCATAAATTATTTTTTAAATCCCTCAACATTTTCATTGTTTCAATTGGATTACCAATGGTTTGAGTAACTTTTTGAACTGATTCATTTTCTACTCTCATGAACGGATTAATGAGCTTTTCTAATCCTAAATACAAAAAATACAATAATTAGATAATTTTTCATATTTAAATACTGAATTTTATTTTTTACCAATAGTTGATGGAACACTTGGCTCTTTCAATTTTCTTTTAGCTTCGATATCCTTCAATTTGTTTAATATATATTGGTTGGATGGCTCAACATGTAGGCCAAACTTTAAATTTTGAATGGCATATTCATGTCCACAAAACACAGCCTAAAATAATAACTTAGTATAATAATACATTCAATGATATAAATATTAGATTATTTTCTTACAGTGCTGTCAGGTAACTGTGATAATATTTTTATTAGTGCCTCATACATTTGTGTTGCATTCCCTTCAAAAAATCTACCACATCCTCCTAAGAATAGTGTATCTCCTAAAAAAATACGATTAATTTAAGAGTTATACTCATAGTCAAAAATCACTTAACAATTAAATTTTGCTTTATCAAACTAGTCGATAATTAAATTAAAAACTGTATATTTCTTTTAAAATAAAATTTACTCATCTAACAAAATGTAAAAAAAATTAAATAAATAATACTGTAATTGTATTTATTGATTAATTCAGAAAGATAAACAGCAATTTCTGAAGTAAGTTAAGCAATTAGCCACAAATTTCAGTGTTATAGCGAGCTAAAAAATCTGTAAAAATCTATCAAAAAAAACGTATTTTAAACTACTTGGTTTGTGTTTGAAACAGACCTATATACTAGTTAGTAGATCAATGGTTTGTTACTTTAAAAATAATATAATAGATTTCTATTATATAACCTGTAAAAACAACACCATCTTGCCCTTCATTAACGTAATAACAAACRTGTCCAGTAGTGTGACAAGGTGTGCGCAAACATTTAATATTTAATGATCCCAATTGAACATCTACTCCATGTGCATCAATCATAACTGTAAGACCATCAATTCGGTCATCGCCTCCAATAACAGTCAATTGGTCATTGGTATTGCTGTTAATAAGTTCTTTGTTGCCACCAGCGTGATCCCTAATAATATTTAAAATTAAAATTGTATTTAGTTGCCATTCATAAATCATTGTAAATTAAACTCATTGAATCATATAACAATTGCTATATGAAAATGAACAGTAAACTTAGTACATAATTTAATTTAAACAGTATATGATTTTGGCAATCAGCTGAGTCAGAGCTATAAAACTACCTTTTAGTTTAAAAACACTAATCACATTTGTTAAGAGATATCATAAACATAAATTTATGTAATATTTTAATTGAAAAGCTAATAATTAAAAAGTACAAAAACATTCGAAGCATTTAAACAATTTGAAATTTGTATAGGTATCTATTATATTAAATCTAGTACAAATAATACAATATTTTAGTAATTTTTATTTTTTATTATAAAATAAGTACCCCTAAATATTCATGAATACCTAACATTAAAAAAAAAATTTGATTTAGATACCAAATACAATATTAAGAAAAGTTTTATAGCAACAGCTTTTTATTCATTGTATTACCAATGATGATGTGTTGTGAGTACGGTTGTTAATTTAACATTTTCTTTACGGACTGCATCCCAAACCACATCAGGTGATACAGGATCAACAATGGCTGCTTCTTTCGTGCTATTATCAATTAATAAGTACATAAAATTATCGGATAACGCTGGAAGCACTTGTACTTTAAATTTGTTGAATTCTTTAGTTGTRATGTTGCTATGCATTGTGGTTAATGGCCTTCGAACTAAACAAATTTAAAAATCAAACATGTTTAATTATCTCATATTTATGTATTATGAAATGACTTACAAAGAAATGAAGAATTTTTAATTACTACTCTTGGT